AATTATATTAATAAAACCTGATAAAACATTGCCAATGATAATTTAACACTCTTAATTGGATAATTATATTAATAAAACATTGCCAATGATAATTTAACATTCTTAATTAGATAATTATATTAATAATACCTGATAAAACATTGCCAATGATAATTTAATACTCTTAATTGGATAATTATATTAATAAAACATTGCCAATGATAATTTAACATTCTTAATTAGATAATTATATTAATAAAACCTGATAAAACATTGCCAATGATAATTTAACATTCTTAATTGGATAATTATATTAATAAAACATTGCCAGTGATAATTTAACATTCTTAATTAGATAATTATATTAATAAAATATTGCCAATGATAATTTAACACTCTTAATTGGATCATTCTATTAATAAAACCTGATAAAACATTGCCAGTGGTAATTTAATACTTTTAATTGGATCATTATATTAATAAAACATTGCCAATGATAATTTAACATTCTTAATTAGATAATTATATTAATAAAACCTGATAAAACATTTCCAATGATAATTTAACACTCTTAATTGGATAATTATATTAATAAAACATTGCCAATGATAATTTAACATTCTTAATTGGATAATTATATTAATAAAACCTGATAAAACATTGCCAATGATAATTTAACACTCTTAATGAGATCATTCTATTAATAAAACATTGCCAATGATAATTTAACATTCTTAATTAGATAATTATATTAATAAAACATTGCCAATGATAATTTAACACTCTTAATTGGATCATTCTATTAATAAAACCTGATAAAACATTGCCAATGATAATTTAATACTCTTAATTGGATAATTATATTAATAAAACATTGCCAATGATAATTTAACATTCTTAATTAGATAATTATATTAATAAAACCTAATAAGACATTGCCAATGGTAATTTAACACTTTTAATTGGATCATTATATTAATAAAACATTGCCAATGATAATTTAACATTCTTAATTGGATAATTATATTAATAAAATCTGATAAAACATTGCCAATGATAATTTAACACTCTTAATTGGATAATTATATTAATAAAACATTGCCAATGATAATTTAACATTCTTAATTAGATAATTATATTAATAATACCTGATAAACATTGCCAATGATAATTTAATACTCTTAATTGGATAATTATATTAATAAAACATTGCCAATGATAATTTAACATTCTTAATTAGATAATTATATTAATAAAACCTGATAAAACATTGCCAATGATAATTTAACATTCTTAATTGGATAATTATATTAATAAAACATTGCCAGTGATAATTTAACATTCTTAATTAGATAATTATATTAATAAAATATTGCCAATGATAATTTAACACTCTTAATTGGATCATTCTATTAATAAAACCTGATAAAACATTGCCAGTGGTAATTTAATACTTTTAATTGGATCATTATATTAATAAAACATTGCCAATGATAATTTAACATTCTTAATTAGATAATTATATTAATAAAACCTGATAAAACATTGCCAATGATAATTTATCACTCTTAATTAGATCATTCTATCAATAAAACCTGATAAAACATTGCCAGTGGTAATTTAACACTTTTAATTGGATTATTATATTAATAAAACATTGCCAATGATAATTTAACATTCTTAATTAGATAATTATATTAATAAAACCTGATAAAACATTTCCAATGATAATTTAACACTCTTAATTGGATAATTATATTAATAAAACATTGCCAATGATAATTTAACATTCTTAATTGGATAATTATATTAATAAAACCTGATAAAACATTGCCAATGATAATTTAACACTCTTAATGAGATCATTCTATTAATAAAACATTGCCAATGATAATTTAACATTCTTAATTAGATAATTATATTAATAAAACATTGCCAATGATAATTTAACACTCTTAATTGGATAATTATATTAATAAAACATTGCCAATGATAATTTAACATTCTTAATTAGATAATTATATTAATAAAACATTGCCAATGATAATTTAACACTCTTAATTGGATCATTTTATTAATAAAACATTGCCAATGATAATTTAACATTCTTAATTAGATAATTATATTAATAAAACATTGCCAATGATAATTTAACACTCTTAATTGGATAATTATATTAATAAAACATTGCCAATGATAATTTAACATTCTTAATTAGATAATTATATTAATAAAACATTGCCAATGATAATATAACACTCTTAATTGGATCATTTTATTAATAAAACCTGATAAAACATTGCCAGTGGTAATTTAATACTTTTAATTGGATCATTATATTAATAAAACATTGCCAATGATAATTTAACATTCTTAATTAGATAATTATATTAATAAAACCTGATAAAACATTGCCAATGATAATTTAACACTCTTAATTAGATCATTCTATTAATAAAACCTGATAAAACATTGCCAGTGGTAATTTAACACTTTTAATTGGATTATTATATTAATAAAACATTGCCAATGATAATTTAACATTCTTAATTAGATAATTATATTAATAAAACCTGATAAAACATTTCCAATGATAATTTAACACTCTTAATTGGATAATTATATTAATAAAACATTGCCAATGATAATTTAACATTCTTAATTAGATAATTATATTAATAAAACATTGCCAATGATAATTTAACACTCTTAATTGGATCATTCTATTAATAAAACCTGATAAAACATTGCCAATTATATTAATAAAACCTAATAAGACATTGCCAATGGTAATTTAACACTTTTAATTGGATCATTATATTAATAAAACATTGCCAATGATAATTTAACACTCTTAATTGGATAATTATATTAATAAAACATTGCCAATGATAATTTAAGATTCTTAATTAGATAATTATATTAATAATACCTGATAAAACATTGCCAATGATAATTTAATACTCTTAATTGGATAATTATATTAATAAAACATTGCCAATGATAATTTAACATTCTTAATTAGATAATTATATTAATAAAACATTGCCAATGATAATTTAACACTCTTAATTGGATCATTCTATTAATAAAACCTGATAAAACATTGCCAATGATAATTTAATACTCTTAATTGGATAATTATATTAATAAAACATTGCCAATGATAATTTAACATTCTTAATTAGATAATTATATTAATAAAACCTAATAAGACATTGCCAATGGTAATTTAACACTTTTAATTGGATCATTATATTAATAAAACATTGCCAATGATAATTTAACATTCTTAATTGGATAATTATATTAATAAAACCTGATAAAACATTGCCAATGATAATTTAACACTCTTAATTGGATAATTATATTAATAAAACATTGCCAATGATAATTTAACATTCTTAATTAGATAATTATATTAATAATACCTGATAAAACATTGCCAATGATAATTTAATACTCTTAATTGGATAATTATATTAATAAAACATTGCCAATGATAATTTAACATTCTTAATTAGATAATTATATTAATAAAACCTGATAAAACATTGCCAATGATAATTTAACATTCTTAATTGGATAATTATATTAATATATTAAATGGTAATTTAACACTTTTAATTGGATTATTATATTAATAAAACATTGCCAATGATAATTTAACATTCTTAATTAGATAATTATATTAATAAAACCTGATAAAACATTTCCAATGATAATTTAACACTCTTAATTGGATAATTATATTAATAAAACATTGCCAATGATAATTTAACATTCTTAATTGGATAATTATAATAATAAAACCTGATAAAACATTGCCAATGATAATTTAACACTCTTAATGAGATCATTCTATTAATAAAACATTGCCAATGATAATTTAACATTCTTAATTAGATAATTATATTAATAAAACATTGCCAATGATAATTTAACACTCTTAATTGGATAATTATATTAATAAAACATTGCCAATGATAATTTAACATTCTTAATTAGATAATTATATTAATAAAACATTGCCAATGATAATTTAACACTCTTAATTGGATCATTTTATTAATAAAACATTGCCAATGATAATTTAACATTCTTAATTAGATAATTATATTAATAAAACATTGCCAATGATAATTTAACACTCTTAATTGGATAATTATATTAATAAAACATTGCCAATGATAATTTAACATTCTTAATTAGATAATTATATTAATAAAACATTGCCAATGATAATATAACACTCTTAATTGGATCATTTTATTAATAAAACCTGATAAAACATTGCCAGTGGTAATTTAATACTTTTAATTGGATCATTATATTAATAAAACATTGCCAATGATAATTTAACATTCTTAATTAGATAATTATATTAATAAAACCTGATAAAACATTGCCAATGATAATTTAACACTCTTAATTAGATCATTCTATTAATAAAACCTGATAAAACATTGCCAGTGGTAATTTAACACTTTTAATTGGATTATTATATTAATAAAACATTGCCAATGATAATTTAACATTCTTAATTAGATAATTATATTAATAAAACCTGATAAAACATTTCCAATGATAATTTAACACTCTTAATTGGATAATTATATTAATAAAACATTGCCAATGATAATTTAACATTCTTAATTAGATAATTATATTAATAAAACCTGATAAAACATTGCCAATGATAATTTAACACTCTTAATTGCATAATTATATTAATAAAACCTGATTTAACATTGCAAATGGTAATTTTACACTCTTAATAAGCCTGATTTTAATTGCTAAACTTAACGCATGGTTTTATAAGGATAAACTATTTTAAATAAAAGAAAATAACTACTTGCTGATTAAACTTAAGAGCTATTGTTCATTAATATGTTAAGTACTTGTAACTCTTCTCAGAGGTGAAAAGATTGGCCCTAATTGATCTAATGACCAATTCTTAAGCATTGTTTGCCAAATTTCTTGCTTTTCCCATTCCATCACAATATGAACTTTATTTATAGGTACGATTTTGAGAAAACGCCCGTTATGTCGACGTACTTAGTAGCAGCAGTTATAGGAGAATACGATTACGTAGAAGATAGATCTAGCGACGGGGTTTTGGTCAGAGTATATACTCCAAGGGGGAAAAAGGAACAAGGGTTATTCGCTCTCGAAGTTGCCACAAAAGTTTTGCCTTATTACAAAGAATATTTCAATATCGCCTATCCTTTACCGAAAATCGATTTGATTGCCATAGCCGATTTCAGTGCAGGCGCTATGGAGAATTGGGGCCTTGTTACTTATAGGTAAAGTATATATTTATTTAATATTTATATATAGCGGTCGAAATGATGTAATTATGAATACTGTAGGTGCTTGGTGAGACTGAGGCAGATTAAAAGTCATTTATTTTGGTTTTTGATTGAAGTTTTAACAGGTTTTTAACTTAAAAATTAAAAAATGCCTATTTTGTAGTTTTAATAATAATAATAATAATAAATAATAATCTTTATTAAATAGGTATTCCTAATTTACAAATTATGTTAATAAAAAGCTCCTTTATTCCTTGAAGGTTCCTTTTTCTTGTGAATGTAACAATAGAGATATTCTTCTACAAAAATCAAACCGAGTTAACTGTATGAAAAATATTTTCTACTTGGCTAAAAACGTATTATAATATTCCGATCCTGTGTGGATATGTGCACATTATTTTTTTTTTATTGCTCTGTTGTAACCTTAGATAAAAGAGACCAGAGATATAACATACACCGGTTTTAAACCTGCGCAAATGTTGCCAATTTCTAAAGAAGGGTTAACGGAGTGGGGGAACTGGGCGGCGACACGCGGCGACCCGAACTCTGTGACAGGGACCGGACTTTGTTTATTAGCAACTTAATGAACTATTAGGTTTATTTAAAAGGTGTTTAATCGAATTTTGTATTATGAAATCAAATTATCGTGATTTTTTAATATCAAACAGATGCCACGACATTTTATGTAAAGAGAAGACCTTTTATAGAATATTTCGTTAGCGTTTATTTACTACGGACTTTTCTGCAAGAGATTACAGTAAAATGTTGAAATAGAATATATTGTTAATAGAGCAAAAAATGTTACTCATTGTCTACGAGTATTATAAAAATAGTATGTGCGCAGGCTAATACTGCAAATCTACCCTTATGAGTTGAACATTATATTTTTTCTACGGCTATTACATATTATAAAAATTAGTCAAAATGAGAAAATGCTGTTTTGTATTGTAACCTCAGAAAAAGTATATTAAGGCTTCTTTCTTTAAGAATATTATTTATTATAAAGGATGAGTCACATAAAACTCTAGAAATGCATATGTCTGAAACCAGATAACATTTTAAAATTTAAATCTATTAAAAGTCATTTGGTCGCTAGGGATGAGTGATTATCGAAATAAATTATCGATAATTGAAAATAATCGATTATTTTCGATCAATAGATTATTTTCAAACAATATATTTTTGTCATTTCCTTTAAAATCGACTACTTGATTATCTTTGAAAAATCAAAAATAATCGATTAATTAAAAAGCCAATTAATCGATAAATCAGTGTTTACAAAATATAATATAAATAGAATTATCGTTTATTTTAAATAATCGATTATTTTCAAATAAACCATTTTTTTTTTCGTCCATGGAAACAGATAATTCGATAATCTTTGAAAAATCGAAAATATTCGATTAATCAAAAATAATCAATTAATTAAAAAGTCGATTAACTGATAAATCGATTTAAAAAAAAAAACAGAATGATCGATTATTTTAAATAATTGATTATTTTCGATCAATCGATTATTATCAATAATCTATTTTTATTGTATTCCCTTTAAAATCGTTAATTCGATTATCTTTGAAATACCGAAAATAATCGATAATTCCAAAATAATCGCCTAATCGAAAATAATCAATTAATTAAGAAGCCGATTCTATGATAAATCGATTATTACCAATAATCTATTTTATTGTATTTCAAAAATATTCGATTAATTAAAAAGTCGATTAACTGACAAATCGATTTTCAAAAAAAAACAGAATGATCGATTATTTTAAATAATCGATTATTTTCGATCAATCGATTATTATCAATAATCTATTTTTATTGTATTTCCTTTAAAATCGATAATTCGGTTATCTTTGAAATACCAAAAATAATCAATAATTCTAAAATAATCGCCTAATCGAAAATAACCAATTAATTAAGAAGCCGATTCTCATATTTCCTTTGAAATTGATTATTCGATTATCGAAAATAATTGATTATTAAAAAGCTGATTATCCAATAAATCGATAATTTTAAAAAAATAACCAAAATATCGATTATGTAAAATAACCGATTATATTCAATCGATTATTTTCATATAATATCTTTGAAAAATCGAAAATAATCAAATAATTAAAAAACCGATTAAACGATAAATCGATAATTTTGAATAAATGTACTTTTTCTGTATTTCCTTTGAAATCGATTAATACATTATCTTAAAAAAAAACGAAAATAATTTATTAAAAACAGCGGATAAATCGATTTTCATTAAAAAATATCAGAATTATCGATAATTCGATTATTTTTGTAACCCCTATCGGTCGCTTGCTTTTATCTGAGCATTTAGTTCCAAAATTTAGAGATTCGGATTTTTTGATCCAGTTATCTTTGAAATCGCATTCGCTTGTATAATAAATAAATATTGCTAAATTTTGGATTTTTTTTAGTAAACGAAAATTATGTTCGAGTTGTTTAGGGGTTTGTAATCTAACATTTTATTAACGTGACTAAGGGTTGATTCCACCGTTGTGTTAAACGAAGTTTAAAATGACATTTTTACATTAACACTGTCATTTTAATCTCCGTTTAACACAACGGTGGAATCGGACCTAACTCCTGTAACTTTAGTATTTTTTTTTTGTTTATACTAGATTACTTTGTTTTAAGACTGAACATTCAATGTCACTTTCGATTTGACCGCAAATAAGATGAACCTTGAAATTTTAAGTAGGTCATCCTGTATTTCATCTAATATTCTTATAAAAATACCTTATAAAAATAAAATTTAGCTAGCAACTATGATTCTTTACCTCTTATTTATCTACCAAAAAGGGCTAAAAACTACCTTTAGAAAACATTTTTATAAAACTACTATTTAAATACAAAATTTCGTTAGCAATAATGCCTATTTACTATTTATTTAAATTAAATGTTCAAAATTTTACCCTTTTGTAAATTTATGTAAGTAATATGAAATCTGATGCTTAATATTTATTGAAACCCCTTAATGCGGATCTGAAGTATTCAGCCCAGAGAATCATGGCGCTTTATGTCAAAACGTTAATAAATATTTACCGCTGAAAACGAATATATTCATAACAGTAGTACTTGTATTATAAGTACATACAATTTTTCAAGATACATCGTGACATTTTGAACTTGAAATTGAATAACTAGAACACTTTAAATTGCTAAAATACCAACAAATAAATCAAAAAACAGCTGTCAATGGTGATTAAACTCAGGTGGAGGTGTGATCGCTGAATGGAAATCGGAGCAATTCGGGTGGCGTCGTGCAACAATGATTTTCAATTGGTGGGTTACTTTGGCTTAAAATTAGACAGCATGCGCAGTGTGCAATGTTACATCTTCGGTCTCTTTAATCTAAGGTTGTAACTTTTAATTTATTTAATTACACTTATGTGATTCAGTGTCAAGGTCTCTTATTTATACAAATATCCGTTATTTTTTCAACAGCCATCACGTTTATGACAATCATGATGAGCTTATCCATTGATTGTGAAAAAAATGCAATAATTGGTTTTCTTGATTAATTTGCAAATTGATTTGTTTTAGTCAGGGTTTTCATGAACACAATAATTATCTGCATGCATTGTTTGAATAATTACATTATTGTATTGTGTGAAAAATTTCATTTCTTTTTAATTCGTGATTTTTCAATGGAAAATTGTCCATATTTTATTGTTAAAAAACGATTTTAGATAGATTGAATGGTTTTCTAATTGGAATTTTTATAGTTTTTTTATTTGAATACAATAAGAATATCAAATGATGGAGTTTTTAAATACTTACAATGTAACTCGAGTGCTCAATAGCTATTTATATAACCAGTTATGAAATGCCTTATTTTGTGTAACCCATAAAATAATCGAGTTACAAAACAAACTCACTAAGTCAGATTTGATGAAAAATCCTGTCACTTAATGCATTTTCTTAAACAAAATAATGCTAGTATGGACTTAATGAATAAGAAAATATTTTAAAAATAAGGTATAATGGATTTTACCAGTAGGCATATACAGGGTGATTCACATAAGAACCGACATAGAGCAGGGGCATATAGGGGGTCCCAAAATATGGCAATTTAACGCAACTTACCTCTATACCAAGTTGCTTCCCTAAGGAGTTATAGGCTTTGAAAGTGAAGTTATAAATTTTGAAAAAAAAACAATATCTCCGTTATTCTTGAACTTAAAGCAACCAAATTTGGTACACTTTGTGGATGTATTTAGGGCGTTACTTGACAGTAACTAGAGTTTAATTGAAATTTGTAAAGGGGGTATACTGGGTGGCGCACCATTAATATTCAACAGAATTTTGTTAACCCTTGATGGATTTTAAAAATCTTTGCTCTGTTTTGTGGGCAATTCAATTCTTAAACTTTTCTTACTCTAGTAATTTTTCGAAAAAACTCATCATTTTCATCAAAAACTCGAATAACTTAAAACGCGCGCTCTAGGTGTGTTATTTAAAATCAGCGAAAATTCAAAAGTTGGCTATGAAAATAAACGTCAAACAAGAAAGTAGGTCATTTAATGTGATCAGTAGGAATTGGCTGGCAAATTATTATTTAGATACGTAACAAAATAACTTAAAGTAAGTACAGATACTGAAATGTGAAAAACTGGGATTAACAACTAACCAAAATAAACACAAAAAACTTAAACAACAACCAGAACAAACAATTGTTTATCGATAAATTAAAGAAATTGTTCAAAATGATCGCCGTTTTCTCTTACGCATAAATTTATTCTTCTTCGAAAATTAAAATCCACCCTATCTAATAACTGTTGATTATTCCTAATAGATGTGCATTTATGAATAATGCGATTCCATAATTCTTCTTGAGACGCAACGGGCGAAGAATACACAAATTCTTTCAACGTTCCCCACAGAAAGAAGTCACATTTGTTCAGGTCAGGTGATCTTGGGGGCCAACGTTGTGGGCAATTATTTCCTCTTCCTATCCATCTATTGGGATACTGGTG